AGAGCGTATAAGGGCCCCAGACACGAAGTGAAATGAGATTCTTCCTGCCTTAACTTATAACGTGAACCTCCAATTCAATGTAGTTTTAATTCAAGAACGAAACACACGAAAAGGCTGAATTTTCATTTTTCAGCAATAAATTAGGGTGATTAATTTGAAGTCTTTTACATTTTGCTGTATTTTGACTATGTTTTCAAATTGAAATTTCCCATCTAGAATGAATTTTCAAGATTATCAGTTTTCTACGAAAACAGTGACGCAGGGATGACTTCTTAACAGCAGTATTTCTGGACTTATCATTGCCTACGTTCAGGTATATCTGCATTTCATAAATGCAGCACAGAGCGGGCTATAAATTTGGATTTTTTTTTTGGCGCAGGATAGATCGAAAAAATTATCGCATCAAATTGTACCCTTTCCTTGTGTATATATTTGCCGTTCAAGACTGCGTATCGTGGAAACGTGTGATTCTCGTTCTTGTTCCTGTTGTCGAAAGTACTCATCCGTTGCTACATGATAAATGAATGGTCGTAAGACTACGAAATGAGGATATGAAATAGATAGTGGAACGCATATGTTTATTATAAAAACTTCAGAAGATGTAAGGAGGACATGTAGGGAAGCTAAATGTGAAAATGGCTGTCTGTGTTTCATCCCTATGCTACAAACACAGACAGTGTGCTGTGTGGATTGGGGTGGGAATCATCAGTGCAGCCTCCAATCCACCATTTGGAAATTTTGACAACATGAATGCATGACGATAAGTTCAGAGTATAGCCGAGGAAAGGGAAGGATACGAATGAGCTCTGCTATGGCCCCCGCACATGACAGCATTGCATTTATGAGGGGAATGCAGCAGCGATTTCATCATAGTTTGCAGAATTTGTGTAACTGCGGGACACGGCTGTTGCAGGTGCTCTATGCGTTTGTGCTGGCAGTGGTGCTTGCGCGGTCGGTTCACATGTTAGCTTCTCAGCGAAGGCAGCATCTCTACGCAGCAGTTTGCCATACCTTGCTCGTTATACCGATTATCGTCTTTCTTCTGCTTCTCACTGGTATACTATTTTATTGCTCTCTGCCCCAGAATTTTTGGCATTTTTTTAATAAAAAATCCAATGCAGTCATTCCGTGCACGATTTTGATACTCAACAACCTGCTTTTGCGCTTTTTTAGTTCTCCTAAAAGAAGAGCAAGAGAGACATGCTTTTAGGATGATGTGTCTCAGAAACTGGCCAGTTTAAAGGAATGCATGCGAAAAACTGAATTAGGAGGCTGAAATTATGACAAGGGTTAGGCCAATTTTTTCAGGATGAGCGTAATTACAGCTAAAAGGATGTACATTCGCATCATAAAATAAATAAGTCGGTTCAAAAGTGCTGAAAGTAAAATGCTGCAGGAAACACTTCAGCGATGGTGGTTTGCGAGACCACTTACTCATTCCCTTTCTGCGTAGTGGGAGTGTGTCAGGATTCGTTTTGGGCCTGTGCTTTCTTGCATGAGGAAGGTGCCAGTTGAAAAGCACGCTCCCTTTTTTACTGCAAATAGCCTGAATGAGCAGTACAAGTGCGTATGCCAATCGTTTTCTTGAATTTTCTTTATGTTGCTTCAGGAAAGCTTGACGCGGTTACGTGGTCGGATAGTGAGCCGATTACGCAAATCCCGTACAGCGTGGTGTGCGCTCCGTTGAATTTGGCCTTGCTTTGTTTGGTGTTGATGTCGTTCGGTTCGCGCGGTGGCAATCCATGGTGGTTTGCAATGCGAGCACCTTTTTGTACATTTTTATTTGAAGCTTGCCCATGCTTAAAACAGTATGCCAACGTAAGCTATAAATTCCGCTCATCTTCACAGCGGCAGGACATTATGGAAAGTGTCGAGCGACAAAGTCTGCATTCCGACCATTCGATCAAGTTCCCGTTACGCCCCGTTGTACCAATACGTTCGATTGAAAGTCCTGACTAGCACGGTGCTTTGCCGAATTTGTGGGTGAGCCGTGTAATTTTCGTTTGTAGCTGATGCATTCCCTGTTTGTACATGTTTAGCAGCAGCAGCGGCTCCCGAATTTGCGTGCAAATGCGCAGAACTGGTGCCGGGTTTGTGCAGTTATTATTCTTTAGTCTTGTCGGGGTCTGCTTGGATGTAGATGTAGCAGTAGCTAGTTTTGATTGGAATGAAATTCAGTGAAAAATTCAGTTAAAGTGTTCTTTGCTCTTGCCATACCTAATTGTTTTTCGGATGTTGATCTCCTGAATGTATCATATCGTGTGGGGATTGTTTTTTGTGTAAGTTGAATTTTAGTTCGTCTTTTGAATTTGGCGTAACTTGCATATTGTACTGATATAGGATCATATGTGTTGCTTGCGTTCACTCCTTCCTATGGTTTTGATGGTGGTTAGAAAACAATCTGGCTGAAAAAAGAGGCGAAATTATTCGGGAGAGCGAAGGAAGAGGAGGAGTTGCCCAGCTGAATGTCCCATCAACATTTGCCTTAAGCCGAAGGCGCATGTTTGAGAGGAAGCAGATTTACTCGGGATTTTTGTGGTGCTCCGCCATCAGCTTATTTCTAAATAGCCCTTTTAGGGCGTAGCCATCAGCAATCTTGCTGGCGGATGGTTGCTCTAGGCATTTGCTACCTTCGAAATACTTTCGAGTGCCCCCGCCTCTCATAGAGGTGAATACGGCGAGGTTTGGACTTTTTGGTTTGTGGGATCCACTTGATTACCTCCGTACCTATGACTTTCTCGCCAGCTTCATTCATCCCCTGTCCTTGTTCGCACTTGCTTTGCTGCCGGATTCTTCTCATCTTTGGATGAGCATTGTATCGTTCTCTATTTCTGTACCTTACGTCCTCAGTATGCAAAAATCGCAGCGCAGTGCCAGTATTCGTTCATTGTATAAGTCGGAAAAAGCGAGCTCAGAGGTGCCTGTTATTCATAAAAATTTGTGTTAACGGGTCAGAACAATATGTTTGCAGCTGTTTGTTGCTTACCACATAGGCATGTTTAATAAATTTTTTCTGTGTATGCAAAATGAGGGGACTAATTGCTGTGGTTATTACATTCCACTATGCTCATTACTACTTGTCTCACTTTTATTTCGCTAACTTGTTAATTATCGACTCCGCTCGGACAGAGGGTGTATATTTTCCTGACACTAATTGCCACTCGGACTATCTTCTTAGTGCTTCTGCCTGTCATAAACGGCAAGTACGAGTAAAGAAGGGGATGGCGGGTTTGGACGAGAGAGGGGCTGGGGGCTAGGTGGAGAGAGGAGATAACCAGGTCGGTGATTTTGACTCTTATCAGTAGTGCAAGTATCATCTTGATGGTGTATTGGAAGTGCCGTGAAGGATTACTTGCCCTTGGTGGATATCGTGCCCAAGAAACTCAGTTACAGCAGGTTACTGCACTACGTTTAGTTCTGATGAATGTGGTAAACAGACTGAATTTTTTTTTTTGCTTGTATAGGAATTTCGGCACCGCGCTGCTTATGCGGACTTGCTATGATGTGTTGGGTTGTTCGCCGAATGCTTCGTTAGATGAATTGAAGGAAGGTTATCTTCGTGAGCTGCGGGCGAAGCATCCAGACAGAGGCGGATCCAGTGCTGCGTTATTGTTGGTGAGAAAAGCCTGGTTCATTTTGAGGTAAGCACTGTTCGTTCTCTTCGTTTTTGAGCTCTTTTTTTTTCTGGCGGGTAGTGGGGTTGTGCTGATTTAACGACTCGTATCTAAGTGTTATATTTTAATTCAGAGAAATTTCTCTGTTTGTTTTTGTTGATGCTGCATTTGACCGTGCTGAACGATGACCTCTCTTTTGGTGTTTTATTTTATTTGAATTTCGCTCATTATTGAACTTTTAGAAAAGGAGCGTCAAAAGTGTCTGTGTAAAGAAAAGTCCTGAACATCGGGTCGAGGAGAGTAAACTTTGGTAGAGGCAGTGCCGGAATTAGCAAAGGGTTGCACATGTAAAATACATCGAGGTGCAAATTCACGGGGAAAAACTGAGTAGATAACAGTTATTGTTTTAGATCTAGTTCGACATGAAACTTCAATCCTTTACGCTCCTGGACAGCTATGCTTTTTCGGGATCAGTTCTAGAACAATAGCATGTTGTTTTTGGGGGTAAGCAGAAGGGGAAGAGTAAGACAGAAGCCTTCACCAGTTTAATTTGCAATAGCTTTGATCGTTCTGCTTTGTTGGACTTAACTCTAGCACGGATTATTTAAAAGTTAAGGGTCGCTCACCGAACCAGGAAACGACGCATGGTCGATGTCATCAAGTTGCAACATATTCCTGATTAAGTGTTAGGCTTCCAGCCTGCTGTATG